ATGAGGTCATAGTGACCTAACATCAGTTGCCAATTTCTTATTATTGTAAACCAAGAATTTGAGAGGTTTTTCAATTCTTTTTTATCATATTAGAGGTGAGAATGGTGTTCAAATGTTAGAATGGTTTGGAAAATCTCCCCAGCATAGTCTTGTTTCAAGACCCACCTCTCTACATCAACAACAGGCCTGTTGAAGTGGATATTAGGTTAGGGTCCAGGGTCTTGAAGCAATACTACTCCAGCATTAAATTAGAGGCAATGAGAAGGTAAGTCAAACCTAAAAATGAGTAAACAAAAGACCACAGTGCAATATTATATGGAATTAGAAGAGTACATTCATATTCTACATGCAGAACAAGATGTTTATCTTGTATGGGTTGTGATTGGTTAACAAATGTGTGCCCCTTTGTATTTCGATGCTTCTCAGCGATTATTTCTCGGAAAACGATCATCATGAGATTGTCTGAAACTCCCTAGAATACACAAGACCACAGGTTACCACACATAAAACTAATTACCTCAAATATACAGAAGTTTTGTGTCCAAAATATGAATGCATTTTCCATATCATACTTTTACTACACTTTGGCCCTTTGATTGTCTATTTTCGAGTTTGATAGACTTGCGTCTCCACTGCCTCTGACTGTAGAACACCTGGGTGTTGCACTTAGCTGATAATCTGAAAATTAATGCCACCCGGCCCTGTTGAAAATCTGTTTTATTTAGCACCATATTGAGAGATCAATGGTGGGTGGATTTTTCCTGTTAGGCCAATGGACTTAAATTCATTATTTCCTGTTATCCTGCATGCAAAATTCACTGTAACAAAAGCAGAAAATTCTTAAGAATTTGGTTATTTCCATGGATTTATGTATGGTATCAATGCTTTTAGTGTGTTTTTATCGCACTTTGAAAAAGTGCTATATTGTCGTCGTCTTGTGCTGTTGGGCGGGCGTGCGGGCGGGCGGGACATAAACCAAATCTTGTCATCAAATTTCCAGGATAACTGCTTACCTGTTCAACTTGAAATTTTTACAGATGCAAGAGCAGACTAGTACCAAGATCTGATTAGGTTTAGGGCATGCTGGGTAAACTATGTGGCGGCCATTTTGAATTTTTCATCAAATCTTGTCATCAAAATTCCAGGAAAACCACTTATCCGTTCAACTTGAAATTTTTACAGATGCAAGAGCAGACTATTGCCAAGATCTGATTAGGTTTTGGGTATGCTGGCTGAATTACATGGTGGCCATTTTGAATTTTTCAATTTGGCGGCCATTTTGAATTTTTCAACTTGCTCCAAATTGACCAAATTTTTTTTTAAAAACATTTACAAGTTCTCAGAAGTTCAAATCTGACCTTAGATTTCAGATTTGACCTTTCATTCACCTTCAGTGACCTTGAAAAGGTCAAAAAAGTAGATTTTCTAAATTGATATTTTGGATTTAAATTTAGGTCAGCTTAATTACAAAACACCTACTGAGGTCTGAAAAAGTTAAATTTTCAAGGTCGAAGGTCAAGGTCATAAAACTAGGTCACAAATAATGTTATCCAAGTTTCTCAAAGTTTGAGACTACAAATCAATTCTTGTCATCAAAATTCCAAGAAAACCGCTAACCTGTTCAACTTGAAATTTTTACACATGCAATAGCAGACTAGTGCCAAGATCTGATTAGGTTAAGGGCCTGCTGGGTAAACTACGTGGCGGCCATTTTGAATTTTTCAACAAATCTTGTCATCAAAATTCCAGGAAAACCACTTATCCGTTCAACTTGAAATTTTTACAGATTCAAGAGCAGACTATTGCCAAGATCTGATTAGGTTTTGGGTATGCTGGCTGAATTACATGGTGGCCATTTTGAATTTTTCAATTTGGCGGCCATTTTGAATTTTTCAACTTGCTCCAAATTGACCAAATTTTTTTTTCAAAAACATCTACAAGTTCTCAGAAGTTCAAATCTGACCTTAGATTTCAGATTTGACCTTTCATTCACCTTCAGTGACCTTGAAAAGGTCAAAAATTTGATTTTCTAAATTGATATTTTGGATTTAAATTTAGGTCAGCTTAATTACAAAACACCTACTGAGGTCTGAAAAAGTGAAATTTTCAAGGTCGAAGGTCATCAAATTAGGTCACAAACAATGCTATCTAAATTTTCCCAAAGTTCAAGACTACAAATAAATTCTTGTCATCAAAATTGCAGGAAAACCGATAACCTTGTCAACTTGAAATGTTTACAGATGCAAGAGCAGACTAGTGCCAAGGTCTGATTAGGTTTTGGCCATGCTGGGTAAATTGCATGGTGGCCAGTTTGCTCTTCAAAGTGCGATATTTATCACTGTGTGTCTTGTTTGTTTTTTACTTCCTTGCTAACAAGATGACTTTTTTGACATCAGATGTGAAACAATGAATTTAGGTCCAATGGCCTTATTTCTTAGACCATGATGAATGTAGTGTTTAGTCAATTTAGATAGTGTTAGATGTAAACAATTGAGAGTGGTTGATGTAAACAATTGAGAGTGTTTGATGTAAACAATTCATAGTGTTTGATGTAAACAATTGATAGTGTTTGATGTAAACATCCGTTGATAAGAATTGCAGTTTTACCTTTATCATCTTATTTATGTCTTATTTAGAGTTGTGTGGTGCAAGTGGTTAAAGCAAAATGAATTGTATAATGTTTTACTTAAATTTCATTTTATGTATATATTGAATGGGTTAAATGTTATGTATATTTTTGAAAAGTTATTTTTCTTATGTTATGTATGATGCAATGTACTTATTGAATAGTACTCAATGTACAACACTGCAATACTGTACAGCGCTGTTAACAGTTACTGAACAGTGCAGTTTGAGCACTGTGCTGTCGCTGTTCACTTTGCTGTCGCTGTTCACTGTGCTGTCGCTGTTCACTGTACTTTGCTACTCAAACAACACTGTTTTGAACAGCGTAGTACAGTACTGTTTTTACAAGTTCTCTGTCTGGCATTGTTTCATAAACAGTGCTGTACAGTACTGTTTGAGATTGGTTGTGTACATTACTCAATGTTTTGTACTCAATGTAAAATAGTCAAAATACAGTACTCAGTGTATTGTACTCAGTGAAAACTGAAACTCACTAAAATATAGTACTCAATGTATTGTACTCAGTGTACAGCACTCAATGGGCAGTACTTAATATATTATTAATTTATTTGTTTGAATTATGGTTGTAAACCAATTGAGTACCACTTATACACATGTGTTCGAAAGTTGTGTGAAATGAAAATGTTTTTGTATAAATAAATAATAAACGAATTGTTAATGGATTGATTAAACTTAAACTTGAATGGGTACCAGAATGAGTTTATTTTTGAAGCTATGGTGTTGATACTGTAATTTGAATTCATGTATAGACATTGAATCATGGGAAATTAAATTTGGGGAGCGGTGTAGTCTGGGCCTCACTTTTGAGAAAATTTATTGTGCCAGGTTTTGAAGAAAGGGTTCGATTTTTTTTTAAATGTTAATTTCCAATCAACATCCTGATTTATTGTTGTTAAAAAGATGAAAGAATTTCCTTCAGGATTTACTGCCATTATGTCATTCCAAGAAGTGGTGACAATTTTAAAGTCTCCAATTTTTCGATGGATGGTGTTTGGCAGTTGGCATTCAGCATCTATAACAAATGGCAGGTGGTAACATTTTGCTTGTTAATGCCTTGTTTACCTTGTTTTTAGAACAATAGTTTTATTCTATAAAAATTGACTGAAATCACTGCCACATTATGTAATTTTTTATTCAACGAGTGAGGTAAAGCAGACTTGTAAAAGTTCTTAGAACATTTATGATCAATCACTATTTTGTCCACTTTCTCCATTCCAATATTTCTCATCATTACTCTCAATTGTTGAGATTTTTATCTATCCAGAACAATTCAGATCAATAGTGTCAACAATTCTTTTCAATATCCAACATTTTCTAATTCTCTGCTATTTAATATTTTCCTCATCATCCAATATTCCAGTATTCAGCATTTCTAAAAATACCAACATTTCTCTCAGTTTTCAACATAACCCGGGGTGCATTTACAGTTACACCAATTTCAGTATAGAATCTGTATGAATTTAATGCCTGAGGTACCTCAAAATTTTAAATTCCGCTTACAGAGGTTCATTTTACATTTATAAAGTTATTGTCACAGTGCTTTAAAATATTCCACTTATGGAGGAGGTGTTCAACGTTTTAACAGTTTTACAAGTCAGTATTTAAACCTATTTCTCTATTTGACATTTTTACTTAACTTAGAACAAAATGAAACATTAGTCTCAGGAGGATTGACTCCCAGAATGCAATCCTGATGTATTCCAACAATGAGGATATCATTATTATCTGACATTAAATTGGCTTTAAATTCATAATCAGAAATTCAAAAGTTTTGAACTAATATTTGGATTATTTCTTGTTTGTTTAATTTTTTGTCTTCATATAATAAGTCAAAAATTTAGATTCAAAATCTGAAGTGAAAAAATGGCAGCTGTTTCACAATCATGACATCCTTCAAGATCAGATTCATTGTTGGAAGATATCGAGATTGCATTCTGGGAGCCAATCCTCCTTGCATTAGGCACTTCATAAATACAGAGAGTGTGTTATGAATTGCTAAAATAAATGCTTTTTGTCACAAAAAACGCCAATATTTGTTTCACTTTAGCTTAAAGGGCAACAAAGACTGGCGGCGAGCTGAGTGTCACTTCAAAAAAGTCTCAATTTCACAATAATTTATTTTTGCTCAAAATGTTCTATGAAGTGAACACCCCATTTCAATTCTAATAAATTTTGACATATCTTTATTAGATTTCAATAATTTCATATCTTAGATTTCAATAACATCCATATTTGAACAGATATTTTGATTATTTTTTCAGGTCATGATAAACTAAAGATTGTTAATTACGGAAACATGCAATCTTTTTGAAAAATTGCTTCCTCGTTTTACACTCAAATTGATGTATTTTCAGAAAAGGGTACGGATCCAATAACAGCGCAGTCACGGATGTCACCAGATGAGATGCGTGCAATGATACACGACAAACTTGTTTCCATGGCAGCAAACAGCAATGAAGAACTACCGGACTATATCATGGTGCTCTTGGCCAATAAGAAAACAATGTCTCAAATGTCAGCTGACTTGAGCTTATTTCTTGGTGATAATACAGAGGAGTTTCTTGATTGGCTCCCTAAACATTTTCCATATTTGGCAAAATCTGATTCGGATACTCCCGAAAAACAGGACATTAAGGATGGTGGGGCTAGTAATGTTGGGTGTAAATCAAAACTGAATAAGTCTTTTAATTTGGAGACATCCAAAGAGAGTCTCGATTGGGATGATCAGGAGGTTCATGAAAATCACCATCAAGATGTGGAAGATGAAAAAATTGAACAAGGTTCTGAGGCTGAAGAAGCTCAAAGTGAGGAAAATGAGGAATCATCCGAGGAAGAAGAACAAAGTGAAGAAGAACAAAAGGACCAATCAGAAGAGAGCGAATCTAGCGAGGAATCCTCATCTAGCGAATCAGAATCAGAGGAGGAATCGCAAGAAAATGAAGTGACATCGTCTTTGTCAAGAACAGCTGATACTAAGAAAGAAAGCAGGAGACGACATTCCACACGACGTGAAAAGGAAGACATCGCAGACATACTCGAAGATGCGCCGGATATTGATGAATTTGCAATGGAGGCTCAGAAAGAGGCTGCTGTTAAGTCGAAAAAGTCCCAAAGACATGAACGTATTAAACATGAAAGTAGTCCCAAAAAGTCACGCAGAAACAAAGATAAAGAAAGTAGTCCCCAGAAACACAAATCAGATCGGCATCGAGAGAGACATAAAGAGCATTCATCACGCTCTAGCAGATCAGAAAACAAAAAAGAGGCTCAGAAAAAGAAGCCTACAATGATCAAGACGTATGAAGAATGGCCAGGTGAAGAGAGGAAATCGCGGGAAAAGAAAAGCGCAGGTAGAAATATAAAAAAAGAAGAGATCGACCTTCCCCCTGGGGCAGATGAGTGGTCAGCTGAGAGCTATCGTGACACAAAATGGATGGGCTCTGAATCTCGGGTCACTCGAGTGCGATCTCCCGATAGAAATGCCAGAAGTGTTCCTCTGAGGTCCCCAGATCGTGGAAGGGTATCGATGGGACTGAAGTCCCCCGAGAGAGGGAAACCAAGGTCAAATAATAGACCAATCAGGTCCCCTGATAGGGGCAGCCAGAGACCAATTATGAGGGATGATCGAATGGATCGATGGAAAATTGACCCCAAAGAAATGCATCGGCGTATCAGTGCTGATATGGATCGACGTCGAGCTCACAAAACCTCTCCATTATCCCAAGATCAAAGGATAAGACATAACAAAAGCCGATCCAGGAGCGAATCAAAAGAGAGACGAATGATGAGATCAGTCCCTGTCGATGCCCGAGCTCAGCGACGAAACTTCGAATCACCCCCACTAGAGGGTCACAAAGGTCGATCACAGAGACAGTATCGTAAGCAAAGTATGAGCCCTGTGAGAAAACGCCCCCGTCATAATGAGAGCTTAAGTCCTACACCTGCTGCACGTGATGCTAGATTCCGCTCAGGTAGCTTAGGCAGGGAGCATACACTGACTCATGTCGTTGACTCAAGGGGACGCGTTGTGCGGAAACCGCTCTCAAGTGGCGGTGAAGATTCCGATTCAAGGTCACCTTTGAAAAAACGACCTCATGATGAGGCAAGAAGCTCAATCGACAGAATAAATGAACTTGCACGAAAACACAGGCAAGAGAAGCGTCAACATAGACATCAAAAATCAGAAGAACCAGTTAGGAGACCTATGAGAGCCCCGGAACCCCAACCGGAAGAGGAAGAAGATTCCAGTGATAATTCCAGCGATAATTCCAACGAATCAGATGAGAGCAGTGAGGAAGAATCGCCAGTTCGTCAACCGAGACATAGAAAAGATTCTACTAAATTCCCGAAACAGAAATTCCGCACAGTTGGAGGAAAAAATCAATATGAGGAAGAGGAAGATTCTGACGATGACGTCCTAAAACTAAATAACAGATCAGCTGTACAACGTGCTCAAAGTCCCCGCCAATATAGACGCAATAAAAATCATAGTCCCGATTCTCCTCCTGAACCTAGCTCAAGTGACAAAAGATTACACGGAAGTCGACATGGTCGAAACATCAGAAGTAAATCGCCCAATGACAGCAGAGGTCGGCAGCAGTATAAAGGTGGAAGCTCAGAACAAGATCCTCGTCACTCCGCAAGCCGTGATCGGGGGGATAATAGAGCACGGAATACGACGCGTGAAAGGTCATCAAGTCAGAGGGTTTCATCTAGTAGAAAGGGCAATATGAGGTGATAGTGAGCGATTCAAATTAGAGCATTATTCAACAGTTGCCAGCATGGATTAAGTCCGGCTCATAAATGTGCATTTCACTATTAGCTTTAAACTGAGATTCATTTCTTAGGACCTTGCTCCCCTCTCCTATGAGTTAACCTAATTGCGAATCATACAGTCTATGCCGCCAAATGATCATGAAGGTATGTAAGGGAAAAAGTTGCAATTTGGCCGGTTTAACCCCATTGAGAAGGGGACAATCACAATGTTGCATATCCACTTTAAAATTTTCCCTAATTATAGCAAACTTTCTATATTATGCCTGGGTCACATTTGCTGTGATTCATCGCCGGCGCCCGGCCAATTGAGTATTTTGTTCAAAATTGAATACATTTTTGAACAAAATACTCAATCGGCCGAGTGGCATAGTGAAAATCACCAAGGCATGAGTTGAGTTTGGAAATCAATTGGAATGTATGATCTATGTTGTAGCTGAGTAATTACACTGGTGATCCACTCGATTACGCTGGTTACCAAAACGGTTCGTTTTGGTAACAAAATGTCGGAACATCCGGAAGGTATGATTTTTCTCGTTTCCTTATTTTACACGTTGCAGGCAGAATTCCCACAACATTTTTTAACACAAACGTGTATCAGTATCATATGTTTAAGAAAGTGTACATATTTGCGAACAAATAGTTCAGAAGACAACAGAATCGTCGATTTACTTCCTCACTTAAGTTACATAAATGGTTTGGGTTAAAAGTGCAGATCTTAACTGTTTTTCGAAAACCGTTTATGTAACTCAAGTGAGGAAGTAAATCGACGATTCTGTTGTCCTCTGAGCTATTTTTTCGCAAACATGTACATTTTCTAAAACATATGATACTGATGCACGTTGTGAGAAAAAACGTCGTGGGGATTCTGCCTACAACGCGTGAAATAAGGAAAAAAGAAAAATCGTGCCTTTGACGCTCCGACATTTTGTTACCAAAACGGCTCGTTTTGGTAACCAGCGTAATCGAGTGGATCACCAGTGAATTAGAGAGATTGAACATGTATATTTTGTATACTCGGAAAGTTTCTAGCTTTGCCTTGAAGAGGCATGGCCTGTATACATATGATAAATAAAAAATGTGAGGCACATTTAAGTAGGTGAGGCACAATTTATGCCAAAGAGCATATTGTACTACAGTGTATATGGGACATAAATTTCCATAGTTTTTGTCCAATTTTGGGACTAATTGTTGATATACACTGTTGCTCATAAATATGGAATATTATGAAGTTTACAATCAATTTTCTCTTTATTGAGATCTTTAAATGTTAACATTTTCCATATTTTTTCAGTATACTCAGGAAAGTGAATCAACATTTTTGTAATTAACAATTTCATTTCCCTAAAATTGATCCACTGGAATTTTGGGGAATATTCTGGTAAGAGTGTATTTCTGAGACTAATTAAAGTTTTCTGGAATATTTTCAAAGTGCACTGATTCTTGCCAATGGCCCAATGTTCCAGATTTATGAACAATAGTGTATGTCAGTGGCGTGGCCAGGAAGGAAAAAGCATAATTTTTCCATGTATTATTCATGTCTTAAAGTGCTGTAGATCTCAATTTTATTTTCATGTAAATTGTCTTACATACATGAAGTGCTAGTATTGGTTACTGGATGGGGGTCTGTCAGAGGTCCATTTAAACCCTCTAAGAGGACTTTATGATTTGAGCCTTTTAAGTTTTTGCATTGGGTCTTTTGAAAGTCCATGATTTTTGGTAGGAGTTACAAAATATTTAACAAAACATGAATATCTTATACATTGCCTAATGCCCTGGTCACATTTGCTCCAATCCATCGGACCAGGGCATACCTTGACAGACCTCCACACACTTCTTGGATATATGTAAATCTGATATTTTGTGCCATACTCAATATTACAGATCACATAATAAAATAAAAGTTGTAATTGTGTCAATGCAGTCCATCACTTTCAGCTCGGTATGATCAAAATGGACAAATATGGACATACCTCCATACCATAAGTTCGATACTTACCTGATCTCGTTAAAAAGTATGTTAATATGTAAATGTACAACAGACTAAGAAATCAAGGTTATATTTTATCTTTTATTACTTTATGTGCATAATTCTGATTATAAGTTTGTTCTTAGACGCTAAGTTACATTTTGATTGTAAAAATCATTTTCTGAACATGTGTTAAAAAGGTTTAAGTATCCTTGAAAGTATTTTATAATTGATATCAGAGATTTTTTCAAATTTTTCTAACTATCTGAATTTGATTGGTGCGAAAAAAACAATAAATAAACAGCCAACCAATCAAATTACAGTATCCATAAGATCATAAGTTAATGTACATTTAATATTACATCAATATGGTAAGCTTCAAATAATTTATATTGATTTATTGTATGACAATATTAGCATAATTTATTCACTGCATCTTGTGTATTTATCATATCTCACGATTAGTTTATTCTATAGCTGCCTTTGTAGTTTAAATTTGTTTATATATAAACTGTACATGTTTTTCGCGTTGAAATATTATATGTTTGTATGCGTATGGTGTAGTATTGGATCATAGTATTTCCATAAATGCAGGTATTCTGTACACCTTTACAAAGTACTGGAACTAGGGTTAATTTGAGTCATCCAATTAGGCAATTTTTTGATTTTTTTACATTTGCTGGTTAAACCTTGACACAATATACCTGGAGGATTGTTCTCTGTCTTTGTTGCACATTGAACTACACATAAACATTACAAAAATAAAACTTTTCAAGGGTTTATCTTAAATTTTGTCAAATTCACGAATGTAATGGAGATTGGTTTGTTTTTCAAATCACCAATTTTTCAAAATTAAAACTAACACCAAATTAACCCAAGTAACAGTAACATGAAAAATTGTACATAAAAATTACTGTAAATTATACAAACAAGGGTGTACATGTATATTCAATGTATAGCATTTCCCAATTGGTAAAATGTCTCATGAGTCCATTTTTGATAAGATAGCTCTTTTTGATACAGAGCCATGTGACCTAGTTTTTGCATAATACTACCATATTTGGTATTCTACATTTTGTAGACAATAGGGATTGTATAGTACATCAGTATACCATGCAAAAGTACAATGGTACAATGGTAAGAGTTATACAGTAAGTTTAATTGCTCGTAAGGAAGCATTTTGACTAAAAAGCTTTGTAGTTAATCATTGTAACAGACTTTATGAGGAGCTACACAGACACAGGTATAACATCCTTTGTTATTACAAAGCTTTTGTAAAAATGGGGAAAAAAATTTTGGGCCCCTAAAACCGAAAAGTTTTTTGAAATTTTGAGGCCCATTTTCTTCAAAATTTTGCCTGAATTAAAATATAAGGCCTTAGAAGGCATAGTAATGACCAAAAAGTCCCACTTTTTGAGACCTTAAGGCCTTTTTTAGCCCCCCCCCGGATCCGCCACTGGGTATAATAGGACATCTAAAATTGTAATCAATGATAAAGTATACTCTGAATCACTACTGAATTACTATACCTGACCTCTGGCTTATGTCTCGATCACATAAGCTTTATTACAGTGTAATTAATCAGTGGGCGCCTGGTCAATTGAGTATTTTGTCCAGAAAAAATTTTGAACAAATTGCTCGATCGGCTGGTGCTGGCCGATGAATCAGAGCATATGTAAGCTAGGCATTACACTGATTTAAATGTTTGATATGTAATATGTATTTAAAGTTTCTCAATGCCTGGGCCTATTTCCTAATTCACCAACATTGAAAAAAATCCGAACATCTCTGGTACATCATTGTTCAAAGTGCAATATTTACAACAAGGCATTAACATGACAAAATGTCACCACCTAAAACAATTTGGTCAATTTAAAGCAAGTTGAAAAAATACCTCTTTGACTTTTTTTGACATTGAGAAGGTCATTGAAGGTCAAATGTCAAATGAAAAGTCAGATTTGAACTTCTGAGAACATGTAGATGATTTTGAAAAAAAAATTAAGTAAATTTAAAGCAAGTTGAAAAAAGACCTTTTTGACCTTGAGAAGGTCATTGAAGGTCAAATCTAAAGTCAGATTTGAACTCTGAGAACTTGTAAAGTCAAATTTGAACTTCTGAAAAGATGTAGATGATTTTGAAAAAAAAATTTGGCCAATTTGAAGCAAGTTGAAAACAGACCTTTTTGACCTTGTGAAGGTCATTAAAGGTCAAATGTCAAATCTAAAGTCAGATTTGAATTTCTGAGAACATGTAGATGATTTTGAAAAAAAAAATTAGTCAATTTGAAGCAAGTTGAAAAAAGACCTTTTTGACCTTTTTTTGACCTTGAGAAGGGGTCATTGAAGGTCAAATGTCAAATCTAAAATCAAATCTAAAGTCATATTTGAATTTCTGAGAACATGTAGATGATTTTGAAAAAAAATTTAGTCAATTTGAAGCAAGATGAAAAAATACCTTTTTGACCTTTTTTGACATTGAGAAGGTCATTGAAGGTAAAATGTCAAATCTAAAGTCAGATTTGAATTTCTGAGAACATTTAGATGATTTTGAAAAAATTTTTTAGTCAATTTGAAGCAAGTTGAAAAAAGACCTTTTTGACCTTTTTTGACTTTGAGAAGGTCATTGAAGGTCAAATGTCAAATCTTAATTCAAATCTTAAGTCAGATTTGAACTTCTGAGAACACGTAGATGATTTTTAAAATTTTTTTTAGTCAATTTGAAGCAAGTTGAAAACAGACCTTTTTGACCTTTTTTGACCTTGAGAAGGTCATTGAAGGTCAAATGTCAAATCTTAAGTCAAATCTTAAGTCAGATTTGAATTTCTGAGAACATGTAGATGATTTTGAAAAAAAATTTAGTCAATTTGAAGCAAGTTGAAAACAGACCTTTTTTGACCTTGAGAAGGTCATTGAAGGTCAAATGTCAAATCTAAGGTCAGTTTTGAAGGTCAAATCTAAAGTCATATTTGAATTTCTGAGAACATGTAGATGATTTTGAAAAAAAAATTAGTCAATGTGAAGCAAGTTGAAAAAAGACCTTTTTGACCTTGAGAAGGTCATTGAAGGTCAAATGTCAAATCTAAAGTCAGATTTGAACTTCTGTGAACATGTAGATGATTTAGAAAAAAATTGAAGTCAATCTAAACAGTATTTGTTAAGTTATAGGAAGTTGTAAGAAATTGTTACAGACGCCGGACGCCAACCGCCGTCGCAAAAAAACGGAGACCATAACAATATGTCACCACTTTTGGTGGTGACATAAAAAATGATGGTGAATTTTTCAGTTTTATTCTAAATGATTTTAATGTAGGTTTATTTTAGGTTCAGATTTCAAGGCACTGGGTTACTTTACTACATGTTATAAAATATTTACATTAATTGATGACTTAAATGACAAGATGGACTATCTTAATGTAATTTTCTCATCTATACTCTGTAAAATAAAAAATCATTTCTGTATAGACATCATAAAAATGATCATAAACAATACATAGAGATATTTGTAAATATAAATATTGTACTTGTAGACTAGTAGATATATAAAAATTGAATATAGGAAATATTTGTGTAAATTTATGTCTTAATCTTCATTTTGTTTGGGTACACTTCTGACCAAAAGTTTGGAAATTCAAACTCCCCATTGGATCACATGTTAAAGCTTGATTATGTGTGTTGGGTGATTTAAAATATCTTTGTAATAACCGGACGTACTGTAGGACAAAGCTTCTTACTTTATACCTTTTAAAAATTTGAAATATAAACGTGCTTTTGCAGGCTATCCAATTATGAGAAAGGTTTGCCAAACTTTTTTTAGGGGAGTGTATGTAGGACTTCCAGCAAGACTCTCATGTGGTCAACACCTTTCATAAAGATAAAGGAATTTTATACCAAACAAATAAACCAAATTTGATGAGTCTGTCTAAAATACATGCTCAATTGATGAGTCGGGGGGGGGGGGAGCATGGCTTAAAGCAACAACTTTCAAATTTCCTGAAAATTTAATGCCGAAAGATGCGGGTCAAGCGAGCGGTGATTTGGATGGGTCCTCCCTCCTAGAAAATTTTGGGAAAAGAGATTTGATTGAGTGATTTTTAAGAGTAAGGTAGACTCATTACAAATACTATCAAGTTTAGAAGAAAAAGTATTTTCATAGGAAAAAAATCAAATATGACCTTATTTAATAATGCTTGTTCTTTGGAAAATGTTAAAATTCCTTTTTTCTTGCTACTAAGGGGACTTGTTCAGTTCGTAAGAGGAACCATTATCTTAACCCTTGTAATTGATAACAATAGTCTCGGTTTGGTCCTATAAAGGTTTGATGTTTGAAAATCCATATATAATTACTTAGATAATGCATGATTTCATTGAAGTCAGTTAGACCCCAAGAGGTAGTCGAGGGTTTCAGTAGCATATACAATGATGAGTACTGACTTATTTCAGGTTTCATGCTTAAACATTTTATTTTAAATGCAGTACCCTTTATCGTATATATTACAATGGCACAATATAATAATGGCACTTGGTAAACTCAAAACCATTCTTTGGACGATGCATGCCTATACTGCAATTTGAATTAAAATATCAAACATTCTAGTGTTGATAACAAATATTCTTCAGTTTTTCATGACATGTACTTTTAGTGATTCAGTCCCCACCAAAAGTTTGGCAATAATTCAATTGAACCATGGGTGTCTGTTATGCTATACCTAAAAATCAAATATGGCTACCTTTCCTAAAAATCTATGCAGATTTTCATACTTTGAAACACCACTCAAAATTTCAAGTTCAAATTGTGGGCAAACTAAAAGAGTGAGATGCAACCCCACCTACCAAGCTTATGGCAATAATGTACTTTAGGTGAAATAAATTTCTGAGGTAACTGAGGAACAAACTTATGATTTAACATTGATATCCAATAATTCTAGTTACCATATTTATGGTGGGTGGTGTACATGCACATTCTGTAAACATATTTGTCTGTTAACTTGAGGCTAGATGACAAAGCAGTTTTATCAGTCATTAAATTTTGATTAAAATACACTCTTTAACAACATATACCAATAGTCCTATAGTACAGGTGCTTGTATATTTACAAAACATTTTTCTTCTTACTCTCTAAAGAAATTAAATAATTTAAGATTTTTTGTTAGTCACAGTAAAACCTATGGCCACATGAATTTTGCCCCTTTTAGGACTGTTGGGAATATAAATACACAATAATGGACTTCCCATTTTACCTCCACCTGTTCTCTTGGTTACATGAACCCTCCACATTAAGGCCAGGTAAAGCCAAGTTTCAGTTCTCATAGATATGGTTAAAGAGTTAGAGAGCCATTTGAACTAGATTCTGCTTTTTTGTAAGATGAGTTGAATCATCTTGGTGTTGAGGATGATTCTGTATTATTTTGCTGCTCCTTAATAAATTATATTGTGCTGTTCTTTATGATGGGCTATTGTGCTGTTCTTCATTATGGTCTATTGTGCTGTTCTTCATTATGGTCTATTGTGCTGTTCTTTATGATGGGCTATTGTGCTGTTCTTCATTATGGTCTATTGTGCTGTTCTTTATTATGGTCTATTGTGCTGTTCTTTATGATGGGCTATTGTGCTGTTCTTCATTATGGTCTATTGTGCTGTTCTTTATGATGGTCTATTGTGCTGTTCTTCATTATGGTCTATTGTGCTGTTCTTTATGATGGTCTATTGTGCTGTTCTTTATTATGGCCTATTGTGCTGTTCTTTATGATGGGCTATTGTGCTGTTCTTTATGATGGTCTATTGTGCTGTTCTTTATGATGGGCTGTTGTGCTATTCTTAATTATGGTCTATTGTACCGTTCTTAATGATGGGCTATTGTGCCGCTCTTTATGATGGGCTATTGTGCCGTTCATTATGATGGTCTCTTGTGCCGTTTTTAATTATGGTCTATTGTGCTGTTCTTCATTATGGTCTATTGTGCTGTTTTTTATGATGGGCTATTATGCTGTTCTTAATTATGGTCTATTGTACCGTTCTTAATGATGGGCTATTGTGCTGTTCTTCATTATGGTCTATTGTGCTGTTCTTTATGATGGGCTATTGTGCTGTTCTTTATGATGGGCTATTGTGCTGTTCTTTATGATGGGCTGTTGTGCTATTCTTAATTATGGTCTATTGTGCTGTTCTTTATGATGGTCTCTTGTACCGTTCTTAATGATGGGCTATTGTGCTGTTCTTCATTATGGTCTATTGTGCTGTTCTTTATGATGGGCTATTGTGCTGTTCTTTATGATGGGCTATTGTGCTGTTCTTTATGATGGGCTGTTGTGCTATTCTTAATTATGGTCTATTGTGCTGTTCTTTATGATGGGCTAATTGTGCTGTTCTTCATTATGGTCTATTGTGCTGTTCTTAATTATGGTCTATTGTGCTGTTCTTTTATGATGGGCTATTGTGCTGTTCTTCATTATGGTCTATTGTGCTGTTCTTCACTATGGTCTATTGTGCTGTTCTTTATGATGGTATATTGTGCTGTTCTTTATGATGGGCTATTGTGCTGTTCCTCTCGTATCAACTCAGCCAATCTTTCCATTGCCTGAAAATACAGTAGTCAATGCATTAGTATTGCCTGAAACACATCAGTCAACATACTGAGTATTGCCTGTAAATCAACACATAAAATAACACAGGGGTCCTTCAAAGTTCGTATGATTACATTCATAATAATAACAACCACAAAAATATGGAATAATCATATATACCCCAGAGGTTTTGCTTATTTTCATTAGTGGTGAACACAATTCTAAACACCCTACTATATTGGAAATGGCAGATCACTAATAAAAAAAAGGTAGTGAAATGGTTGGGACTGGAGACATTTCACTTTCGAAAGTCTCACCAATGAACTTGTATTATAATGAACATAAGCACAAACTTTTGACTGTTATATTTATGATTTCTTTATGGTGGCACTAATTTACAAGCACTCTTGAAGTTTATAGATTCAACTTCACTTTAATCTAAACATGTCAGATATCAACGAAATCCAAAGCAAAGTACAGTTGTACATTGTGAAATGATACCAAAGATGTTACTGGTATATTTCACAATTTGAACGCTTGATTTTCAATATGGTTTTAAGTGTTGACTTCATGATTGCTTACAAATTTCTTGATGTTTGCACTCTTAAAAATAGGAATGATGTCAAAATGGTCACAGTTGACAGAAAAAATGGTGCCATTGAATGGGAAAAACTTGGTTTCAATGGTACTGCTTCAATCAATGGAACCATTCGATGGAAAAAAACTTGTACCATTCAATAGAAAAAAACTTTGTAATGAAGGATTTTGTGCCTGATTAAAATCTCAAAAATCCTATGAAACTTTTTTGTCTAAATGCTTTGACACAAAACAATTTAGCCTGCTTTGTATCTCTTATCATTATGAATGCTGTGAAAATAAAATGGTCAGTGTAAACGTAGCTGAAGTCTTTTAAGTCTTTCATAACATAAGTAGGGACAACACTTTTGACCTTGACCTTCGTTTGAAGGAGTTAGCTGATAACAGCTCAATAATCTTTGAACAATGATTGTACATGTACTTCTTAGCATCTGACACCCACTTTCATTTTTGACAACAGGCAGCAAATTTGATAGTCTGCTCTTCACAGTAAATTACTTTGCATGTTTTCTGCCTGTTTTTTTGATATAGTGCTTTCACCACCTATGTCAGATAACAGGTAAAAAAGGACTGATAATGTTTTTTCTTTTAACATTGCATCAATGAGGATTTTGCCTACACACTTTTTAGTAGAACCAAGGGAATTCCACACAGGTTTTACTGTATTTCAAATAACATTGCCTTCGGAAATGGCATCAGTTAGTAATATACCTCATCCATGATTAATGAGAATTTTAAAGTACACCCTCTTAAATAATTATGATTGAAAAGAGTTAATGTCAAAAAGGTAAACAAAATATTGACACACACAGAATAATCAACTTCCACACGAACCGCATAAAACAATTTTTACTATTGGAACCAGATGTCTACATGTAGGTACATGTATACGCTTTGAAATGAACGTTTTTTAACTATACTGTTTTTTTGGTATTTTTGTGTTATTGTCTACAAAAGGATGTTTTTAACTAATAGAAGAGAATCTAGGACTTAAATAATGCTAAAATAAGACTAAAACTTAGAAATATTACTTTGTTTAAAATGTTCGGGCCCAGATTAAAACCCTGAAAAAATATTTGACTTTAGGACTGCATGAAGGTGAATATCTCATGAATTGTTAATTAAGTACACACACACACACAGGTCCACACACATATATAGATAAGACATATGTAAAGTCCTCTAAGACAAAGGCAAGACTTATGTATGAGTCCTTGGGCCAATATTTAACATGTAAATTTGGGACTGTCTCAAAAGCCAATGTTTATTCTTTAAGTTTTATACTTCATACTTCGAAGTTGTTCAATCGAGACCAAAGACATACAAGATAGGCAAATTACACTCTGTTGCTTACAAACAATTCTAGAGTTTTAATGTAAAGTCTTTTTTGGTCTTTGAAATAATTTGGTTTGAAATCTTTTCTTGTGGTTTGAATGTGAAATGCATTTAAGCTGGGGGGGATAGAACTACTACAAGTGATGTAGTCAGGTATGTAGCAGGCGAGGCAATAACCTCACCTATATTTAACAGAAATACATTTCTGGATGTTTTTTCAACTAAAACAGGGACAATAAAGTCCAGGTAGAATCATGTCTATTTTTGCTCTTTGCCTCACCTATTCATTTTTTGCCTCACATAATTTTAAATCCTGGCTCTGCCCCTAAATACAATGGAAGTTTTCACGAATTGATGTTTATTTCCACATGAAGACTTACCAAGGTCAAATTGTTTCCTCTAACTACATTTACTGACAATATTTGAACAGGTCAGCATAAACTAAATGTATACAGATAAATATAAAGGCATGTCATATTTTTTATATTTTAAATGACTATAACAACATTTTGTTTATTCATACTTCACAAAAGATTATAAAAATATACAACTTGGGTATTCAAAACTTTTTTACAAAATGGCACGCTACATTCTATAGTTTCTATCAAAATATAAAAGTTATAGGCTTATTATTGAGTTAAAGGTTATCTGTCATTTGAAGTTGAGATTGAAAGGGCTTGAAAGGAGGGGTCCCCAAGCAAGTGAAATAATTGTCTAATCTGCATTTTCCATCCTCATCTTCCACTAATAGTCAAGCTTCATAAGATGTATGTTTGCCATTAATTTTTTTTAATATATTCGAAAAATGCCCCTTAGTGGGGGGGGGGTTGACTCCCAATGATGAACACTGGGACAGAAGATGACAATTGTTATCATCAATATTTTCCCAATTAAATTACAATTATGCAAATTAGTGATTAAAATATCATTTAAGTGTGCAGGGATCCTTCCTTCCGACTAGCCCAAGTCTATATTTAGTGTTTCAATCAACATTTTCAAACACTATATTTAGTATTTCAATCAACATTTTCAAAAAAGACTAAAATATAGCATTTCCTACGCAAATTTCACATCAACATCCTTCAGAATAAAAAAAGGAAAATTTGAGTTGCTTAGAATAATCAAGCAATGCATTTTCATATGACTAATGAAATTATAGATATTCAAAGAAGAATCCTTTATATTCTCTAGAAATATATGAGTAGTATATGACAGTTCTGCTTTCTAAATTGTTTTGACAAAAATTACCTGTTGATTTGAGGAACTTGGCAACTGTTTCCATGGTAACATTTCTGATAATTATGCTTATTGATTCATTTTGTCTGTTGTAAATAATTCCAATAAAACGTAACATTTTCAAATTTTATAATTAAAAATAGCAACACCAGATTTAAACAAGCTGGCATTAACATGCAAAATGTCACCACCTGCCATTTGTTACAGATGCCAAATGCCAACTAACAAACGCCATAGTTGGTGACTATAACAATATGACACCACTCCTGTGGTGAAATAAAAAATAGAAAAATAGAGTACACAGAATAGTTTAGAAATTTTGATTGTTCTACACTTTGAGATGGTCCCCCACCTTGAGAGGAGGTGTGAGTGTTCTCTATGTACTGTATGCAGATTATGAAAGGTGATCTCTGGGTTGAATACATACATACGTACCTGAGAACATACCTGTTTAACATACAGGTAGACAGCGCAGAAACTCGTTAACAACACATAAAATACAGGTGAGTAATGTAAAAATTTACTGAATTTTTTGAATATTGATTTTAAATTGGAGGATCTTTTTTAATCGAAGTCAAAGTTTTTTAATTACAATTGATATCAAACATGTGAGTATGGAGGTTTCATAATGTGATATTATAAATTTATTCTTTCAGCATATGAATCAACTTTTTGCATATCCAATTGTGATCATTTGTATGGTAAAAGATGTTTAGTTTCAAATTGAGTCAATATGTATCATCATAGCTTAAAGCTAAAATAACCCTTAATTTCTTTGTTGAAAAATGTGATAGACAAAGATTGGTCACACCCATAGAATTTGGGGAACATCCCCTGGGGACTGGGATCTAAATTTGGAACTGCAATATCATGGGTGGTAATTCAGATCTTCAGTGGGTACATAACTGTCAAGAGTTGGGGATCACACCCCCAAATTTATGAGAACACACCCACATGTTTAGGAGAACACACCCACATGCCTGTTTAATGTATCCTTTCTGTATTGCATTTACAAAAAACTGTAAATATCAATTTCAAAATGGCAGCCATATTCTTCATGACAACACTCCCCTCAAAAAGTTTGGCAAACAAAGTTAATGTCAATTTAAAAAATCACTTTTGTCATAGATTTCTGACTTATTGTAAATGTATTGAACAACAAAAGCAATATTCCAACTTAAACAGGCACTTTTTATACACTATTTAATGAAGTCAGACTTTCAGTTGCGAAACTTACTCATATAGAGGGGAATGTATGAGCTAGTGTGTAATCTCATATCTGATCTTAACCCTGGATTAAAGGCGCTTGACCTGTGATTAATACATTTTTACTTGATTGTTGAACTTTCATTTTGAAAGAATTCACATTATTTAGATATAAATTCCGCATAAGTCATATGAATTGGCCAAAGTCAATTAATTAATAGTACAAGTATAAACAAGGAGTAGAATTAAATAACAATCTGGTGAACTAAATGTTGATTTGCAACTCACTTGAATACAACTTGAAAATCAACTTTTTCATTAACTTGACTTTTCAAAATCCTTTACCTAATTTGACCCCTGCCCTTGATGAAAGAAATTAACTTTATTTTTCAATAACCAACTTTGGACATTTGGATACTGTCCCAAACCTTAATATTCAATGACCTTTAATATTATACTCCCATTTTTGTATAGGTGCAAGTATTTACATAAGATAAGTTCAAACTTAAATCCTGTCTCAAACACACACAAACATGGCCTCAAAGACATTGGTCTTCTATTGATAAATTACTGAGTTGTGTCTACTGATCCACATAAATCAATCACATGATAGGTAGTAGTAGTTATGGTAGTCACATTCATAGGGTAGTCACATTCTTCAGGTAGTCACATTCAGGGGGAAGTAACATGACATAACATAAAAGTATTCACATAGTTGTGTTCCTAGTCTCATTAAAATATACAGTTGTGTTCAACTTAAAGAATATCATGTTAATTCTTTAAAAATGACATTCTTAAAAGTACATGTCATGTTTTAAGCAATTGTCATGTACAAAACATGTCATATTTCAAGTTGATGTCAAGTGCTATCTAGATGATTCATGAACACATCCAAGACCCTGGAGAAAACATTATAATCTCCATGACAACCTTGGCGACAACGGCATCCATTCTCTGGAGCATTTAATCTTCATACACATGCAATTTTGTTTTCCAGAAACATTGACTTCGTTACCATGGATACGAGGCTGTTACTAGGGGTGCTGGTTGCCCTACTGGGGACAGCCCTGGCAAACCCATCTTGGAGCGTCACTGTAGAATATGGCAAAAATGTCATCCTCTCTTGCAACGACACAAGCGCACCTCCTACCACTGATGTAGTACGCAATAGATGGATGCTTCCCGATTTAAGAATTGTAGATAAAGGATGGACGGATGACGATGGACGAAGGGGAGTGATTGATGATGGAAAAAGGTTTAACATAACCATGTTATCAGACCGAGACTTTGGCATTTACCATTGCATGTTTGAAAAGACTGACGGGACTTACTTTGTCGTAAAACGTGGAGTAAACGTCGGTGGCCCATATTACGGCAACCTATGGGATAAATATCGCATGAGTGTCATCATAGGTGGCAGTGCTGCAGGAGGATTTGCCGCTGTAATGATTCTCATCTGTCTCGTGTATAAATTCCGCTGGAGGCCTCCCGTAGAGGAAGATCAATACAAAAGCCCCCCGACCAATGGACAAATAGACGGATATGGAGTCGCACACGTCCCAAGCGACACAAAGGATGATATTGAACGAATCCCAATGGCGCAGTATCACACAGGAAATGAGAAAAATGGTGATGCGCCTGTACCTGCACAGACTGAAACTGCTCAACTTACTAATGAAGTGAAAGTTAAGGATAACAGTTCATACGTTTATGATAATCCTGCAATGAAGATTACAGATCCAGACAAATTAACACAGTTATAAAGACCAAAAAATGCTGAACTAACATTTATACTACAAACTATTCCTAATCCCCAAGTCCGAACATATCACATACTTTGTGAAAAGTGACTTGTATATATGTGGTCGAAGAGGCCGAACTTACACAGCTATTAAAAAGTTTTCCCAAATCCTCAAAACACACATATCTCAGATTTTGAATGAAACACCACATCCTTAAAAGGAAAAATAGAGGATATTGCATATATGGGATGTTAAAACAAGGATACGGTATCCAACCCAATATATAAAAGTGATATTACTAAAACACCAATGGATAAAAATCCCACATACAAACCTATATATCGGGATCCCAAAAGGAAATATTTGTATAAAATACCAATAATGGAGATTACAAAACAAAACATTTGCTGACGCTTGAACTTTTGTACATATTTTCGCCACTGCACAGTGACTTTATATGAGTTAATAACAATGAAACTTCAATGAATCAATAAATAAAAATACTCAAAGGGTTACCATGGTTACATGTAAATAATTCCATGAAATCTTGATATAATTTTATGTAAGGGTGACTCTGTGTTGCCATTTACTTAAATCTAAATACACAGAAAATTACAAGCACTCAAGGAAACTAAAAAACAAATATGAAATCATTGCACTAAGATGATGCATATATTTTGAAATATAATATAATTAAATGATTTTCTGTTGACTGTATTGTTATAAAGCTGGAGCTATACTAAGATAGTACTATCATCAATTCTATTCATATTTGAACAATTTTATTGAATAGCCACACTAACCTCTGAATATTACAGATAATTTACAGTTTTAATATTTGTAAGTCTATTGAAATTTAATAATATGTCTAATGACCAAAAATACCTAATAAAAAGCAAAACCATATTTATTGCATCTTTTATTTAGATTTTATAATTTTCAATATCTAAAGGACATAATACATACATGATGTTGATAAAATGGCAACAACTTTTGGTTCAAGTAATATTTTCAATGAAGACAAAACTGAAGTTAAAATAGATGAAGTTTTCAATCTGAGAAATAGTTTCACTATAATACAAAATCTAAGGTCACATTTAATGGTTCAATAGTCATTTGGAATTATTACCAAAGTCCAAACATATAACACACTTCGTGAAAAGTGATTTGTATGTGTGTGGTCGATGGTACATATTTTGGGTACTCACAATTTTTTGCATACTGAAAAAAGTCTTGAATCATACATGGGAGCTGACGTTAAAAGTATAACAATTTTGAATGGCCTAAAGATCTGAATCTCAACAGTAATATTGATATATGTCAAAAATTACAGTAATTTCTCATATTACATGAAGGCTTGAATCCCAATATTCTGATAGGCTAAATGAGAAACTCAGTGGAGTTGCAAATCCCACCGGACAAAAGTATTTTTTTAATCCTTAGTCATTTTGGACGTTACAAAAACATGATGGAAGTAACCAGGAAATAGTAGAGAAGTATTGTCTCCTTTTATTGAACTTGGACCAAATCTGGAAACTGGTATTTGTGTTATCAGGAAAAATCATAATTTTCCTGACAAATGGTGACCATTTTCTTGTTCAGATATCGAAGGCATCACTATCCAAAATTTAACAAGCAACAAAATCCTTCAATTTCGAATTGAGTGATCATTCATTCTTGAGCAGTGGTCTTTTGCCCGTATAGCTTATAAAATTTGGATTAAATCCTATAAGTGGTTTTAATGTAAGCCAAAATTACATTCTTCATTAAAAATTGTGGCAATTTTGAAATCTTTTGAAATTCTTCAGCAGAGTTCCTATGTCCCAAAGGCATCAGCATATTTGAAAATTGGTGGCCTTTTTTAACTGAGTGGCCATATTTATAGGATATCCTATGATTTTGAGGAATATCATTTTTATCTACGAGGTGATATTGATATCTGCACAAGAGAGCGAAGCGAACGAGTGCATATATCAATATCACCAAGTAGATTAAAATGATATTCTGAAAAAAATCATAGGATGTTCTTATTATCCTAAACTTACAAGGAGTGTACTAAATGTATAATATCATTAATGCAAAATGAATTTCATGCCAAATAGAGTCAATTTGGCGGGAAATCAACAAGCGGAGTATATCGCCACAATATCCTCCGCATATTGGGTTTTCCGGAGTATATCGTCACAATATCCTCCGCCCGGAGTATATCGTCACGATATCCTCCGGATATTCATTTTGCCCATAAATATCAAATTTATTTTTAATGTTATTATACATTTAGTACACTAAGTGTAGGATAATGAAACATACTATATTACCATGTTCATTCCCAAAGCACAGGTCTTATGCCCATAAGACATCAGCCTATAAAATTCTAACCAAATAAATCAGCTAATATTTAAGTTATCACCAATACACATGAACGGACAGACAAATGCACATACGGATGGACAGACAGCTTCTCTATATCCCTACCGAACTTTGTTTGGTGAACACCTTATATTCTATAACGTAGTGATTAACTTCCATTTCTGTTTGTGATTCTTCATGTCACAGTTGCAGATCTCTTTCAATTTTCATCAGAAAAAAATTTAGAAAGACTGCACAAAAACTTAAACTTGATGTCAGAACAAAAAACCACTGTGTACACAACTCTCCAAAACAGTTATGTGATCCAGGTGGACTATAGGTTTCATAATTCAAAGCAAAAAGCTTTTGAAATAATACCAATCCAAATCCATTACTTAAAAACACAAGACCACAGTTTTGTCCGCAGTACTGCAAACCAAACAGGTTAATGGTGATGATATCAATATGGACAAACAAAACACCATATGCCAAGGCTACCATTACAGAAGCAAATATCAAACTAATTAAACTTCCATTAAAAAATATGAACACTATTTGACTGATACAGGTAACTATGCCCGAAAATAACAGAATTGATGACTTCGGGATGACTGGCCATTTCTGGAATATATAGTCTGGTATCACTCCACCAAATAATCGCCCAATTGATGCAAAAATTGGTATTATGAAAGTAAATGTTGTTGGATTGACATCAATTTGTGCAGATTCTCCGATAATTGTGATATTGTTTACAACTGAAATGTTAATACCTCCGATGATCATACAAATCAGAAAAACATAATAAAACTGAGGCGTTTTCATCATTTGCCAACAGTTCATATCTTGTGGTATCTGTTTTGTTATTTTCTCTTGAACAAGGGCTGTTCTATCATTTATGTTCTTATTGTTCTTATGTTCCACGGTGATGGTGTTGTTATGTATATCATTTGTCTTATTCATATCAGCCTCTCCTGATTGTTCAATCTCATCATATGGAGATCCTTCTGGAACTGTCTGTAGCATCACAACACTACATATTCCTATACAAGCTGATAATACAGTAAGCATTATCATAAACTCTCCTAACTTTTGATTCTCTGCATCTTCAAAGTGTCCTTGTACGAATAATCCTTCATAAAGAGCAATTATAACAACAGAACTAAGTCCAAATATGGCATTTAAGAGGCCGAGTACTTTACCCAAATGTTTCTTGTCAAAGTTCTTGCAATTCACTGCCATCGATGGTATGACTAAAAATGTGGGCCCAAATCCTGTCAGAAAATAAAAAATACACACCAGCCAATTTTTTGAGCTGAAAAATATCCTAAAAACAGTCGCCATCCACATTAGTAAAAATCCCATTGTCGTGACAATAAGTGAGATGGTGCACGTCACTCTTGGACCGAAACTGTCAAAAACAATTCCTGGTATAAACTCTAAACATCCTCCCCAATCACCACTCGAGGCTATGTAATCCAATTCAGTCTGAGTATAGTTAAATGTTTCTTTCAGGGAGATTGCATATCCGTTAAAGCCAAACACAACTCCTCCCAGGAACCATCCAAGTATCCCTACGCCCAAAGAAACATATTTCTGAAGTTGTTGTCTTTTTAATAAATTCATTATCGCATCATTGAACTTAGTGCTTCTGTCAGGTTTAAAAAAGCTGTTCTTGTCTGAAGTGGATTTATTATTTTTTTTATTAAACTCATAAGCGGAAAATGCGGGATAACATAATAATGATCTTTAGTGATTACTCGTACACACGCAGCAGGTGTATAAGAACTGGAATTGAAATATGCCAATATTGTTTAGTACTAGTATATAACAATATTATTCAGTGCATATTCATCTCTCTGCTGGTAATATACAAGTATAACATAAAATAAATAAATAATTAAATAATGCTGGTAGGATAACCAGCGAAACATGGAAAGTAAATCATTATTCTCTGAAGTAAATGATGCGAGCTTGAGTTATTTAATATTTGAGTATTCACATATGGTATGCTATCACTGGCGGATTAGGGGAGGGGGGAGGGCCTGGGGGCCCAGGCCTCAAAATGGGCCTCAAAATTTCCCACTTTTGGGTTTTAGGGGCCCAAATTTTTTTCCGCACAAGCGCGGACGTTTTTTTCTCTGACCTGAAATTTGGCCCCTCCTTGTTGGTTCCCAGATCCGCCCCTGGCTATGACACAGACCTAATTTCAATTTGAACATTACTCCACGGAATAGCCAATCCTGTACAGAACAAACTACATCTAATCAAACCACTTTTCATTTAGAACATTTCATGATGGATATAACCAGTAGTTACTTTTTTGACAAAATTGATGTTTTCAAATATAATTTCATTTTGAATAAAAAAGGCCAAATCCTATAACTGGTATTTGATATTTAGTTCTATGTTATCAAAATTAATTTTTTCATAAAAAATGGCAGCCATTTTGAATTAAGAGCCATTTTAAAAAGCATCAACATATAAAATTTGAACCAAGTCCCTCAACTGGTATTTGAGTTATCAAATATTACATTTTCATGAAAAATGGTGGCCATTTTGAAGTGAGTGGCCATCTTTAATATGCCTCCTTTGCCAATAAGATATTATCCTATAAAATTTCTACAAATGGTATTTAAGTTATCACACCTTTTATTGAAAAATGGTGGCCATTTTCAAATTCAGCGGCCATCTTGAACAGAGCTCAATATCCCCAAGGCAACAGTATTTAAAGTTTGAACTAAATCCATCAACTGGTATTTGAGTAATCTAATATTACATTTTTCCAAAAACTGGTGGCCATTTTAAATTGAGTGTACGTATTGTGTTCTTGAGTAGGTCTAAAAGTTTGGACCAAGTCTGTCAGGCATTATTTGGGTCATTGCCTGGACACACAGATCAATGAATGGATGACAAATAGACAGAGAGACAAAACTATGGATGGCTTCTCTATATTGCTACCAGACTTTGTTTGGTGGAATAATTCACAAATCCTTCCATTTTTGAATTTGATAACAGACTAACTGTCATGTATTCTGGTCAATGATATAATAAAACAAATATTTCATTCCACACTTGTTATGCACCTTCCATGAATTCTGCGAGGACATATTGCCATCAACATACTCAATACAAGCAATACTCAAGCCCTACAAATATCACCATAAAGTACAGATATTGCGCCATTTCAAAAAATGAAATACTTGGTTAATATTTTTTAGCTATAAACAGCAAGAAAATAAAACAATACTGCTATATAAAAATCATAATTCACATTACAAGTGTACCAGTAGATAAAAACTCTAATTTATAGCGTCTAAAATGCAAATACGACCCTCTAGCATATCAAGCGCAGTAATTCAAGACTGACAAGGCATGATCAACTACATTCCATTATCTACGATTGTCAGTCCAAATATCTTAAATCAAGTATTTCACTTTGAAGTGTGTGTGTTTATCGAAAAGAACTACTCAAACTTTGGACCCGTGCATTCTCCTAGCTCATGTATAGAACATATTTACAACCCCCTACATAAAATTGACAACCTTGACTTCATATTTAATAACATGTAAAGAAGTCTATTTAAGCTTCAATCTTAATTTTGTTTGTCAATAGACTAGATGCGAGTAGAAATAATTTTGATTTGCATCATTAAATATTCAAAAGGGTGATATGAAAATTGAATATAAGTGGTTCTTTTGTCTAATCAATTAATTTGCCTATTGCCTAATTTTTGCCAGATTCTGAAAATTAAATGTTGAAAATATTATCTTAATAATGTTATCTAATGGGAAGTGTCTTGTCACCAGGAAAATTAAAATCAGGAAAGTGATAAAATTTGACCATTCAGCAAATTACAAACATTCAGATTAAATGACACTTATTGAGTATGGCTTTGTTATATGGATTCATTAAAATTTCTAAACATAAACACAGTTACAAGGTTTAAAATGTGGTATATCATGCATACTCCCTTTAAAAAAGATTGGCTACAAGAAGTCCACTTTTAGCATGTTGTCCAAAAGTAGACTTCTGATTGCCAAATTTTTGAAGGGGAGTGTATATTCGATCTGCGTTGTCTAAAACTATGAACATACTGTTGCATATTAGATACAAGGTCAAAACAGTGAATATCAATTTATTGCATACTCAAAAAAGGCAAATAACCGCAGAATGTAGAAGTTATGTTTTATCAAGACTTAAACTAACTTGATTTATAGACTATTAGACTCTTTTAATACCATGAAAATAGTACAACACCCCCCCCCTCCCAATAATACAGCCCCCTAAATCAATAAAAATGTCACAAATTTAATGATGTTACAGGTCTCAACATATTTTATGGAAGTGGGGAGCTCACTACCTTAAATATTAAGTTTTGTAGGTACCTTTACATGATGTGGCTCTCCATTAGACATTCTTACTATACTAGCGATTAATCAAAAATCACCCGATACATCAAATACCACTCAACCAATGACATAGTTACTGAGGTTACAACATGCACTGAAAAACAAAGTTGATTTTTGGAGAACATTAGGACATGTTGACCTATAGCTACTTAAAACAAGTTGTGTATCTCTAAAGAAATTCATTTTTAAAGATTTGAAAGATGATATGTACATCATTTCAGAAATATTAGCTTTCAAGCCCATGGTTTGATTACCTATATTTATTCCATAATACTACTGTTTTCCCAGGGAAATATGAAGGAATAAAAATCGTATTGAATCGTATTACATGAAAAAATCGTATTGTCCCCGGGAAGAAAATCGTATTGGAGCGTATTACATGAAAAAATCGTATTGTCCCCGGGAAAAAAATCGTATTGGAAAATATTAACCTATTTTTGGTTTTCCTGTTATTTTTAACCTTAGCTAATTGATAAAAGCATTTTCAAAATGTAACATTTTAGAGGAATGTATTATGGAATAAATAGGTTATTTCTGGTCGGGATTGAATATGGGTTTCATTCCTCGGAAAATATGATATTGACCTTGGAAAATATGATATTGACACTCGGTCGCTGCGCTCCCTCTGTCAATATCATATCACCCTTCGGTCAATATCATATTGTCCCTCGGAATAAAACCCATATTCAATCCCTCACAGTAAATAACCTATATGTATTCACCTTAAGGTGTATTGTAAGTCATTCCTTATGACCAACAAGTGACCAATATATATACAAGGCAATGCATCTTCAGAAATTTCGATAGAAAATTCGCCATTCTCTCTAGGGCACAAGCTTATGAATCTGTAACAATCTTTAATAGAAAATAGAAATCATTGTGATTAAAAGATGGCAGCACATTTTAGAAAATCTCAATCATGAAAAAACTGACTTCATCCGGACACTTACCAATGTCACAAGATGAATACCAGCTCAGTGTTCACTGAACAAGTATTCTTAATGCATATATATTTTAGTAGCAGCATAGGATAGCAATTTCTTTTGAAGAGTTACATTCCAATTTTATCTGAATGATGAATATATTGAAGACCTAAGATGCAGAAATGTTGAAAATAAGAAAGGTAAGTCAAACAGTTTCTATCATAAAATGAATTCCCAATTTGGGAAATTCTAGTTTCCAAAATTATCAGAAAAATAAGTTACCAAACTTCTGTATGTTGAAAACATTGTAAGTGGGACACTTTTGGAGGAATGAAGTTTTTTTGAAAAATGCTTTACTATTTTATCTAACAAAGTGTTCTCATGACAGAGGTGTTCAATGTTTCAATGCATTTAATGAAGCTTAACAATATCGCTTTATTAAAGAGCTTTTTAAGGTGATCTGCAAATGACATTACACAACAATATGTAATCAGCTATTACCTTGCAATTGTATAAGCTTGGAGTCATAGAAAATATAACAATATGGTCATGTTTTAAAATGTGAAATAGAAAACAATAGAGTGGATATGCAAGAAATAAAGTAAGTAGGCATGAAGCTAACACTCTAAATTGTATAGAAATGCAAAAATTTGATACTGTTCATTCAAATTAAAGAGAGAAATGAGTGGAATCGGCATGGACTTTCAATTAGAAAGCCCATGGAATCGGCAAGGAATAAAGTAATGCAAGAAATAACGCTGTTCATTCTTCTAAAGAGAAACAGGTATGACAACCATGACCTCTTTTCATATTATTTATTTATATTAAGGTAATTCTAATTGGATTTTGACATTATCCTATTGTGCGGGATTATCAGGGAATTGTACATACTATCAAAAATACAATTGTTAAACGTTTTCTTGGTTCCGGAGATATGGATTTTTAGATTCATGCAACCCAATCGTTATAAAGAATGTTTGACCTTCTCTTAAAATTGCTTATCCTTTAAGCCTGATGACAACATAAGTTTACATAGGATTACATATAAGATTTTCCTCATGGATCGAACAGTCATACTGATTTGTGTGAATGTATGCTCACAACCTTACTAGTGTTGTCGCGATTAATCGATACATCGCGATATACATCGCCAAAGCTGATTCTGGCCATGCATCG